ATTGAATATTTTTTATGTATATATTCTTTCGGATGAAGAAGATGGGCGAAGACCCTTGGAAGATGATGATCACATTTGGGAGTTATCCCTTAATTTGTGGATTCAGTTTTTGTTAATTGATAATAACTTAAAAAAAACTATTGTTACCAAATTTATCTTGGAATTAACTTGTACATTAATCTTCTGGCATGTTTGCAAATAAAATATAGAGAAAATTACTTCCTACACTAAAAAGTTCAATTTTAATTACACAAATAATACTCATGTAAAAATATTAGCATTATAGCCAAAGATTGTGTTTATATTTGCAGTTTTACTAGAATTCAGTTGCTATCAAAAGTTGACTTAAATAATCAATTTACTATCTAAATTAATGGGAATATTATCAGTACCAAAAACGGTTCCAGTTGCATATGGTAAGAGGGAATTATCCCACCACTCAAACACTGTCCACCGTCAACTACTCTGCTCTCTTCAACACTTTCATTTCTTTTCTCTCTCCCACAAACCTTATCAACTGCAAACACAAACATATCAACCCAATTCAAAAAATGGCAAAAATGAAAATTGGAAGAAATCCGATAACTGGCGCCGAGGCCTCCCCTCATCGGAAGTAGAGTTCGCGTCTCAGAAATTTACAAGCCAACAGGAAACCCACTCTCGTTAAAAAAAATTGCATTTCGAGAAAAAAAATGAAAACTAACAACTATTGGAGTATGCCCGACATATCGGAGAAGGCCGACCCCTCATCTCAAGAAATCGTCCAAGGACAAGAAGATGGACCGCGTAGAGACCTCGTTGAAGGAGTTCAGCCGCAACCTCTCGATGTTCAAGTTCAAATCTGGCGCGCACGAAAAATGAGAAAGTTGTCTTTTTTTTTTTTTTTTTTGTACATGTTGTGGGTATATGTTGTGGATATATATAGTATATTTTCAGTATTTGTTTCGGGATATGAAAATATATATATGTTTCGGGTGTGAAAATTATGTACATGATTTATATGTTACCATCATATATGAAAAATTACATGTTACAATATATTCCAAAGTTGTATAATACACATATACATATAATATACAAGAAATATACACTCGAGATTCTCGTAATTCAAGCAAGCGACCGATCGGAACACACATATACATAAAATATACTTTAATTATACACTCGAGTTTCAATCATTTCTCAAAATCGATTTCAGAACCCACATATACATAAAATATACCTAAGATATACACTTCGGCGGGCCTGCGACACCGTAGTTCGGATGAGGGTGATCAGGGGCGGAGCCACCCATGGGCTAGGGTGGGCTCCAGCCCCAGGTAAATTAAAAAAAAAAAAATTATACTTTACATTTTAGATTATTTTTGTAGATAGCCCCATGTATTTTTATGTTAGCCCACATTTTGAATTTGCCCAATAACAAAAATCCAAAAAAAAATAAAAAAAAAATTAAGTTAGCTGTTATGATCTTGCTATTTTTTGTAATTTTTTCTGTTTTTTGTAAGTTTGTATGGAGCTCGATAAGTAGCAGAAATGGAGGAATAGATGTGAGAGGAAATGCAGAGGGAGAGAGATAGAGAAAAAGGTAAGAGAGGGAGAGAATATTTATTCAGTATTATAAACATAAATAAAAAAATTTGACCGACAAAAGGAACATAAATAATGTATTTTCACGCCTCTGCCCAACTAATGCCTTTTCTTTCCTTTTTTTACTTTTTTTTCTCTGCAGTCAGATTTATATGTATAGAGAAAGAAAAATTGTATGTAAGTAGAGAGATTAATAATAAATAAACCTAATTGAGCTTTATAAAATATTACAACCCACTAGCTTAACTATAGAAATATATAATATTTGACACAACTTATTGTTTATTCTAATTTTATTTTATAAACTTGTAAGAAGATTGTATTAATGTATGTTTTTTTTTTTTTTTTTGCTATAATGTATGTTTTAATAGTGCTATGAAGATATTTCTTATATTTCTTATGTTTTTTAATGATCAGAAATTATTAGGAATTGATTTGTCATGAAAAATTTAAAAATATACTTAGTTTGAATTTGTGCACACAACTTGTTTGATGAAAGCACAACTACATATTTGAGATAATATAATTTAAATTTTTTTCGGCTAAAAAATTGAATATTTGGATATGATTTAAGTCTCTATATACTTTTCTTTATAGTTTAACATGATGTTCTTCTTCTTATTGTTTTCTTTCTTATTTTGGTAAAATCATATTGAATTATTTTATTTGACACAATATTAGTTATTCATGTAATTTATATTACATTACATATGGAATATATCATTTACTTTATATTTTAATTTTATATATTTTGTTCCTTTACAATTCAAAGAGAATTATTTTCTGATTGAACTTATGGATTCTAATAGTTTAGCTTTGACATTCATTGGATGTTTAAAATATAATTTCATTCATTATCTTTGTAAATCATGTAAGTTGTATTGAATATTAAAATGAATTATTTTCATACATTGATTTCTTTATGCTTGGCATCTAGGTGAAGATGTTATTCGAGTCAAGCGAAGTCGAATATCTCATGTTCGAACTTGTGATTATTCAATAAACAAACTTGATTAGGTTTTCGAGCTTAACCTGTTGAAATATATGAAATAGTTGAGTTCGAGCTATCAACAACAACGTACCCAGTCTATTCCCAAATAATTGAGTTCGAGCTATCACGAGCCGAAATGAGTTGTGTTCGTGAGTAGTTTGACTCGAATAATAGCTCAATGTTAAGCAGCCCTGGGTAAAAAAAATTCCTAGCTACGCCCCTGAGGGTGATGAACATATTCTCGTCGCTTTTGATCCCTGAACTGCGGATCTCGTTCAGTAGAGGGGTCATTGGCTCGAACGCAAGCAAATGGGAGAGCTTGTGGACGATGCGTGGTTGGTGTCGTATGTGTGACGGAAGCTGGGGTGGTGGTCGCCGGCGTAGTGGAAATTCTAGAGGGTGAGGTTGAGGTTTTGCTGGTGGGTGATGATGCAGCAGAGGCGCTTGAGGGTTAGTTTCTGCGGTTTGCGATGGATACGGTGGTGATTGGTCGGAGGATCGACACGTTTTTTGGGGCGGTAGTGCGGGGATAATGAAACGGTAAATTTGTACTCCCGCACTTTAAGGATACTGATAGATTTTATTGGGGTAACAAATCTTGCATTATCACAAATAATTTCCATGCATTTGGTAAGTTTGCAAAAAAAGTATAACCATTCGTAATGTTGCAATATTTGTTGAATCGTTGTGTATACATAAAATTTAGCCTAAAATATATAACTTTAGTTGCTCTGCAAATAATTATACATGAGTTGTAATAATGTAATAAAGTCGGTAACTTTATAGTGCGCCAATTAATTTCCTCAAAAGTGACAGTTATTTGAAAGCCCAAATACGATCTGGACTGAAGTAAATATCGGGCTCATACATTCCACATACTGAGCAAAAATTAGAGGCCCAGCTATACATGTGGCTATAAATAAA